ATGCCAACTGAAGCAAACAATGACGAGTGATCAGTCCGCCGGTTGACGTGGGTGAGGCCAGCAAGGATATCGACTCGCCTACAACTACGCTGACCTCAAAGAGGGCAGATGTTACGCAAGCTACTCAGCAGCCAACCTCCGTGAAACAAATATTAATCGCAACGAAGGGTCAGATCAAAGTTCGCCAGTCCAGCACGGATATAATTATAAGCAGACGGCAAGACTGGCTAACTCAAGTCCACTAGACGCACCAATAACAATACTCTGGCGATGAAAGCGGGAAACGTTAGTGCAGATATAATTTGGTTCGCTAGCCTGCCCTCTTCTTTAACTTCTTTGGGAGACGATGAACGCGATAAAATATCTGGACCCCGAATCTATGCATACATCTTTTCAAAGCATGTGTCACTTATTCTTGTGAGGGACACTCATTTCTCCGTCGGGCAGTCTGCCTTGTTAAGTGAGCCCTAATTTTTGCCTGATTCTACTGCATCCTAGGACCGGGACCATTAAAAAGGTCATCGATTACATGTTATTCGGTTGCACCAACATACGTTTTTCAGTAAGTATTTATGATCGTATATCAAGATAATGAACATTAGGCTTAGTATATTAAATTATTATCTTTGTCGCATTCTGCCGTACAGTTATATCAGTGAGCGCCACTATGCCATACGTTGTTTTGTGAACAAATTCCCTTGCAGAGTGAAATAAAACTTCACAATTGTTGAACGGCAAATATAATGTTTCCTTGCCCTGAACAAAGGTAGAGACATCTGTAATTGTATGGATAGAGCCATTTTTGTTCACTAAACGCCAGATGAGTACATTGAGATAAAACGTATTCGGTAACAGAATAAAAATTTAATCTCAGGTGAAAGAACAATTTACTCCAAATGATACTATGAACAAGCTAACTGCCTGAAAGCCCACGGCTGGAAAGCCTTCCAGTCCATGTGACGCAGGGCCCACTCACGCTGCAGACGCATAAAATACCAGCGTTCCATGCAGTCGTAGGCCTCGGGGTAGTAGTCGGCATGCATTTTGTTGGCAAAGAGATGAAACGTCCGCCGCAGTTCGGGCACGTGTGGACTGCCGAGGATGCACACCGAACGGACATACTTTGTAGGACAGAAGGACATCGGATGAGACCAGACGACATACCTTCCCGGATAGCCCATCAGAACCTCAGACGACATTGAAGGACGTAAACAGGCTCCAGGAGCGCGGATATGAGAGTTAAATGCTACGGTCTGGAAGAAGAATTCCTCAGGGTTTCTAAGCCTCTTGCTTGAGAAGATGACTTTGAGTATGGGTTGTGTCGCAGGGCTGTGGAGGGCAAAGTCTAGGAAGTCACGCTTGTAGGCACCGTAGACAGTTCCCTTGAACCAATGCAGCTACATTTACAGTAGAGATAAACCTTGGGTTATTCAGCAATATGAGAAACTAATCATTTGCAAATAAGTAGTCAAAATTTTGCCGTTCGTTAATTGCCTTACCGTCATATGTACTGTACAACTGCTAGTTGTATAGTGCTAGACAACCAGTTGACTTCTGACACTGATCTTTGTCTCGGGTATCTTTTATGTAATGAGGGAACTGTGGGTAGATTAATATCATGAAGCAAATTTTAAATACCACTGAAAATAACAGGTTGGAAATTCATGACTAGGGACATAGCAAAGTATGTCTAAAACTGACTTCCATAAAACAATACGCACCATAGATTACTATCCACAAAAGAACAACATGGCTGAGAAAAGCTGAAGTCAGGAGCATAAACAGCTCTATTCTGGCTCACAGGTCGATTCCGGACCCCAACGAAGCGTTCCGAGTAATCTACAGGGTCCCACCACATTTTCCGAAATCCCTGGGTTAGCGTCTGTTAGCAGCAGCATAAGCGACCGCTATCAGGCTAACTAAGCCCGCGTTGTGTGCACAAAAGAACTTCCTACAAGCCCCACAGTTACTTAGTGGCATGCAGTCATCCATGCTATGTTTGTCTCTCTCCCCCCGTCTCCCTTTCCCCTTCCCCTAGACTACTCCATCAAACCCTACCCTCACAACCAGCCTTCGCTTATCAACCACCACCCCCATTCCCACGACTCACCTTTTCAAAAAGACGAACACGTCTGAACTCGCACCAAGTTTCCATGTAGATGTAAGGTCTGAAAGTACACGTATACCTGCCAAACTGGACTTCGGCATTCTCTGATGAGAATTTTTGCAACTCTACAACATCAACAAGCTAAACCAAGGCAATTTGCGAAAAGTGCTGTAATTCACTTCCGTAGCATCTCAAAGGCAATAGTGAAAGGCAAAATATTGACGAAGTAATTCATTCCTACGGAAATATTTAACAATTAAGGGCCAGATTCCTTGGTTAAGGATAACATACCGACTAATAAACGTCCGCCGAACAAATCGTAAGGCCTCCAAATAACAATATTACTTCTCAAATCGACGTAATGGAATTTGGTTAAAAAGAAAAGTTTCTTATAGTGTGCTCAAAACTTATTCCGGATATATTTCGATTGATCTTAAGAAAGAAGAACATAACTTAATACGTCACGTACCTGGTTGGGTAATTTAACGCCTCTAGCTCGATAGATGTATCTTCCTAACCTTACACCTTCCACAAGGTTAGATCCATTCAGTGCTTGCATTGCCGCGATCAACTCTAGATTGGTG